CACGTTTTCTTCATTCCACGAATACATACAGCTACGAATAAATACAGAGATCCATCTCATGTGTCTACATTCTATACTTGTAAACATCGAAATTGAAATTCAATGAAAATATACATAAAAAAGCGTACGTAATTGCACATTGAAAGTTACATATTTTTTGAAGTAATATATTTTATTTATATTTGATTGATCTTTTCTGCATAGAAGGAAAGATCAAAGGAAAATAAATATATTAAACATTTCATTTCACATTTTACGTTAAAATCTGTCAGAAGTGAAGCATAAAAATCAATAAACTTTTCTTAATATTTATCTTATATTAATATCAAGAAATCTTGTCTCAGTACTTTATATGCAAAATAATTAGACAAATCATATTACGTGTAAAAAAAATTATATTTTTATTTGCAAAAATATCGATGACATTGATATCTCACAAAAGCGTAAAAAAATTATCATATATGTGAATCTATATTTCACAAAAAATTGTGAAATATTTCAGTATTTTTTTATCCAAAATAAAAAATAATCGAAACATTCGAAGTATATAATAAATAAGAGGAGATGAGAGATTCTTTTTACGTTTTATAAAGCTAATTTTCCTTTATAGTGAATATTTTATGAAATATTCTACGTCCGCATTTTTAAACACATTCATGATCAATAACTGAATTTTTATACATAGAATGAAAATAAGGCAAACAAAATAAACGTAGATGACTCGTCAGCCATTATATATAGGGCAATATATGGCAATCAATGAAGATCCGACTGAATTGTTTTTACTGAAAGCTTTTCAAATTTTGCACATAGATCGAGTTCGATCACGCATCAATTAATGGCTTGTTGAGTTTCCATTTTGTCATATATTGTACGAAAGTTTTTATTATCAATTGTAAAAACTGTACAAACATATATACACACGTGTATGAGTTGTCGCAGACTTGCTGAGCCACTTTTTATAGGCGGATTTTTTAATTAATTTAGAATTGATTTTATTTCAATAAAAATATTGAGAGCGATAATAAATAACTGAGAATAAATTTCTTAGAAATTGATCTATTTAGATAAAGTGCTAATAGAAATTAAAAATCTTCTTTCAATTTCAGATTGTATTTCAAAAAATTTGGAATTTAATTTAAAATAAATTTAATTTAATAGTCCAATGTTCTGTTTTTAAGACAAAACTTTTATGATATAATTTCAACAATACACACGTAATTTTTCTTTAAATCTTTTCAATTTTTTCAATTCCCAAATATGATCATATTTAATAAGTTCTTCAAAAAATTTCAAAAATTTCCGACAAATAGTAATTTTTCTTTCCTTCGACGTTTTTTTTTATTAAGGAAAAGATTGATGGAAGGATCCATACATGAGAAGCTTGGGTTTTGATAGGAAAACGGATCAATCTGTGTATATATGCAGTATGCAATTTTATTGCGCATGACGATATTGCCAAACGATATCGCGGTTCTACGCGGAAAAATGCAACACAGGGTTGACTGGCCAATCGGCCGAATAATGGATGCGAAGCGGACAAGGGACGACCGAGTGGCGAGATGTTGCCAGCCGGCCAACCAGCTAGCTGGTCAGTCGCTGCACTGAAGCGCCGGATTGCGCATAACAGAATATTGGCACTCGCGGAACCGAATAACCGATAATAATAAGTGCCTGCCATTCACACGGCCGCCCACCCGATCGCTCGTCATCTATCGTGCCTGAAAGGCTTGTCCAGTTCTTTTTCTCCTTTCCGCGTGATTCGCGAACGATTACCTGATATGGATTTCCGTGGATTTCCAAAACTGTCTCCCTCCAATAAATACATCGCGTATCTGTAAAAGAGACAGTTCTGCAGAATAAAGTTAGTGGCAATAACTACATTTTTTTAAGGATGTATGTACTTCTGTCACATCTCAAAGCATTATCAAAAATATAAAAATTTTATAGATTGTTCTATTATTACATTTAAATATCTAATATCTGTAAAATTTGAGCACAATTTTCTTAGTTATTTAAAAGTTACTTAATTTTTTTTTTGTTTGTCTTGATTCTTATGTAAAATCGTATTTTGTAGTACTTATGCAAATTTGAATAAGGTTGCAGCATTACGAATTAAATCAAATTTTTTATATGTGCTAATAAAACTTTAATGAATATTCATACAAAAGTTTATTTAAATTTACTTGTTTAAAAATTGTTTATTGTTATAAAACTGTAGCAAAATTTGTTTCGTTGTATAATGTCATTATATATCATTATTTCATCATTTCAAAGCTAATGAGAGTCAATACGAAAAGAGTTACAGTTGCGTACAGTTATATATTAGTAAATATATAAATTATATATTTATCTATAAATATATAGATTAGTAAAATTACTTCTTCATAAAACTGATGTCTTCTTTATTTCGCAATCTTGAACGTTTCAACTCACTTTGGAGCCATATTAGCAATTACTTTGTATACTATGTAATATTGTTAAAAATGGCTCCAAAAATAAATTCAAACTTACGAAACAAAGAAGACATCAGTTTTATGAAGAAATAATTTTACTAATCTATAACTGTGCGCAACTCTTTTCGTGTTGACTCTCATTAGCCTTGAAATTTCCTAATTATCTTTTAGAACTTCTTTTCAAAAAATGCCGCCCCCCTAAACTTGCCGCCCCTCGACCTAAGCCTAAATTAGCTTCTAATGCTAATATGATCTAATGCACTGTAATTGGCTGATATATATAGAAACTCTCATCCGAAATTTGATGAGTTTCAGAACGTAGCCTGCTTATCGAAAGATTGGTTCTTACTTATGGATCGCTTGAGTGAGTAGGCTACAAAACTCCGAAACTCATTTCAACTCAAAAAAAAAGTGTTCTAACCTTTTTAGTTGCTGATTGTATATACAAAGATAAAAGAGAAAAAAGAGAAATATATATACAATAAATAGAGGAAGAAGAAAGAGAGAGAGGGGGGGAAGAGAGAGAAGGATCTTTTTTTTTACAAATATATATATATATATATATGTAAATGACATCATCTGCGCGTGCGTGGTTTTTTTGCTATTTAAAACGCGAGTCAGTTTTCTCTTTGCTCGAATTCACTTCCACAGGATGACGCCGGATATACATGTAAAGGAAACGGTGGTATTATGACACCCAATTTACATTTTATACAATAACTTGATTAATAATTAATGTTTAAATTTAAAACTTAATTACATTCGTTAAAGCGTTTTCCAATTGATTCTAGGCTCAAAGTTACAAAACATTTATTATTTAAGTATACATTAAAAAAATTACGCTGCATAAAGGCTTAAAGAAAAATAGAAGTAGTAATATAAGTCTTCTAAAAAAAAAAAAATAAATAAAAAAATAGTTTTGTTTAAAAAATAGTACTTACAAAATTAACAAAATGTTAAACATTTAAAGTTGTATGCAAATGCATACAATATGTACACATATAGGCTGCTCTCCGTTTTTCTGCATGTAAATTGCTCAGTACTAAAAATCTATTGCACATGTATTATAAACTATAGATTAACAGTAAAGCTACCATTCATGGAAAAATTATTTTACGAAAAAAAAGTTTGTAAATGAGCCGACACAGGAAGTACGTGTAAAAGATTATAATTCAATACAATGATAGAAATACGAAGTAATATAAATTAGAAAATTCGCATAAGAACAGTTTGCAATAGTAAAAGAAATATTTATATATATAATTCGTAATTTCGACCCTAGATTTGGGTTCCCAAAATAATTATTTTGATATGAAAACCTCGAAAACGCCGTCAGCAATCAGCATTTATAGGGGGTTACAATAATAAAATGTCATGCTATTTAATTTTGCATAACTCGAAACGTATATAGTACAGCCAAATAAAATGTGTTAAATAACAAATATACATATCCTCATATAATAGATATACGATCAAGTATTTAAGAATAATAATATGTGTGTAATAAAATGCTATAATATACCTTAAAAATGTTTGAAAATAAAAATGCGTCATAATAAATTCTAACTATTGTGTATTGATATATTAGCATCATGATATAATTCAATGAGTTACTGAACAAATAATTCCATAAGTAAACTAAAATTTTTCACCTAATAGCGGATATTAAAAGGAATCATATCTACACTGGTTATAATGGCACCTTCTTCTCTATGCAAGCAACATTGCTACAACGTATGTCAATAAGTAGATAAACGAAAAAAAGAAATTTTAAGCAAGTGGCACATAAATAAAAAACGCCGTAAGCAGTCATCCTTATAGAAAAGTACTAGTGTGTATGCGCAGTATAATATTATGAGACTGTATTAATGCACTACTATACTACTATACTACAGGTAATAATGTAGTGATGCAGTAGTGCAATAGTACAGTGCTTCAAAATACTATTGCACACTACTAGTAACGCTCAATAGTATTTATCTATAAAGCAAGTAAGCCTGCACATACTTTCCTTAATCATAAGACCTACCATAAGATTTAGCCAATCATAGTTAACAGTTTTTGAAAATTCTTAACTGTGATTAGCTAATTCTTACGGTATGTCTTATGATTACTGTTTGCTTGGAAAGTGTGTGCAGGCACTCTAAGCAAATCTTTTTCACTTGCTATTATTTGTATTATTGCCTTTGTTCTGTTAGACTACGATTGGTCGATTACTGCTTATGTTTTACTACTCACGTTTTTTTTACATGTGCCACTTAGCTTAAGCGGTACCAGCAATTTATGCCATTAATTTATTGCATCATTATTATTTCATTATCTTGATTTCTCACTATTTTTTTCTATAAGACACATAAAATCATTAATTATTTGAAAAATCAGCTTTACGATTGAATCCTTTTGATTGATCGAGAACGTTTATGCAAGGAACTAAAGCAACATTCAAAATAATTAATATTAAAAATCGAATAAGATTTTAATCTTTAATATACATATATTATTGCAATAAATAAGATACATATTTTATATGTTAAAATGATTGTATATCAGTTAAAAAATGAATTGTAAATGACAATCGGAAGAAAATTTGAGAAATCCGTGGATCATGTTGACGAAATCTCGCGGTCTGTTCTGGCGAAAGGTTGGAATATCCGTGCGCAAGTGGATTTATTGGAATTCGAGAGATTCGGAGAGAGTCTCAGAATCGTTGGAATAATTGACGCCAGCCATTGCACCACTACCTGCAAAAATATCAAAATGCAGAAAGGGTTCGACATCACGTGAGCCTTACGACTGTCATAAATCTTTCGAAACGAAAATTGGCACCGATAACGGTGCACAAAGCTCTGACCTGCTCGTAAAAACCATGAATCAAATATCTACTATTTCGCGCAAAGCAAACATTTTACCGTCGAAAATTATGCATCATCGTTGTAATCGCGACGGCGGTAGTTTTTTCGAGAGAATTTAGAATGGACTTTTTTCCGATAGAGATATCATGATTGCTCTGAGTATCGAGCACCATTAAAATTCCCTTTATTATTGACAATCAATTCAAAACGAGTCAGAAATTAATAATATGATTAATCGCTATTTATTTATTCTGTATCAAATTTAGATGATTTACATTATTCTAATTCCGGCTTTATTTTTCCTCAAATTAATAATGATTTTGCAAAATTTTGTTGATGATTATATTTATTTAAAAATAATAAAATATATTATATATTAATAACATGTTAAATATTATAAGTATATTGTTGTACAATTTTTATTATCTATCTAGATTTTTACAGTTCTCTCTCTCTCTCTTATTTTTGATAAATAACATTCGATTAAAGATTAACCGATCACTACGGGACATTCAATATTTCACAAAGCTGCTTTTCGTACTTTTCGGAAAACTGCATATTTTTTACCAACACATAAGCGAATACCGCTTATCGCGCGTCTCATCGACACAGACATATTTGAATATACCGCGAGCACGAGCGCAAAAATGATCGTAAGTTTTCACGATAGTCCACAATTACCTACCCATAATTCACGAGCCGACATCTTTAGTGTTCTTTGCGTGTGCCTTATTCGGATCCGTTTGGCGCTGTGCCTTTGTAATAAATTTACAAATTCGGTTTCGCAACTGTAATCAGCGTACAATGTTATACTCAACGAATTTGTTTATTGTCACTGAGAAAAATGGTCTAGTTGGATTAAATAGTAATTTTGGTGGAAAATGGACGAATAAGAATTTTCTGGTTAAATCTACTAGAATTCTAGTTAAGATAACTAGAATTCTGATAGATACACTCAGAGAAAGGTTTCTTCGATTTAAAGAAACGTTTCTTTACTATATAGTTAAAGAAAAAATTCTTTGATTTGAATGTCATGTCTTTGATTTAAATATTATTGTTTGAAATCAAATAAAAAAATTTATTTGATTTAAAGAAATTATGTTCAAATCAAAGAAATGACGTTTAAATCAAAGAAATTTTTTCTTTACCGTATAACAAAGGAACATTTGAATTGAAGAAACCTTTCTTTTCTGGGTGTATAATTATTCTGGTAAAAATAAGAATTCTGCTAGATTTTATCAGAGATATTGTATCATCCAGAATTCCGGTTATCTCAATTAGAATTTTAATAAATTTAATCAAAAAACTCTGATTGGTCCACACACACATTTTGATTCAGAATTTTTTTTAGCACCTTACTATCTACATATATATTGAAATTAAGGTCGATATTCATAGTCAGTTGTTACTTTAAGATAGTCTTAAATAATGTCTTAGTTGCTAATGCGGTCCTCTGATTGATTCGAGACATCTCAAAACAGAACTTAAGACGATCTTGAATATAAGAATTAACTATGAATATCGGAATAAGATTTTTTCAATTTTTCATACATTACGTGATGCAATAATAATTGTTATCTTTGTTACATAAAAAAGTAAAATAATATATATTTTAGAAATATAGATATATAGGGTGACACGTGACTCCATGTAAGAGCAGAAAATTTGTAGTCTGTGCAAATGAAAGCATTGATTGAAGAATTATCTGTCTATATAACATGCGTACAATGTTAGTATTATATTAAAGAAAACATTACGCACATTACACCGACAGATGATTTTTCAATCAACGTTTATGATTAGTCAAACTTAAAACGTTTATACTTAAAAAACTACTTTATGGAAAAAATGGTTTACACTTTTATCGCTTAATTTTTCACGAAGTTTCACGCTGCAATAATATTATCCTCAAATTCTGAGACCTGTATACTTTGATTTATAAGAGATTGATTAAAGAATTAAAAGATTTTAAACAAAAGTATAAAATAATTACAATCCGTTTCAAAAACAATAAAGTAAATCGTACACTGAGAAAGATTACCTACTAAATTTTAATAAATATTTTCTTGTAGTTCTGTAGCGGAATATTTAAAAGAGACTGGATACAGTTGCAACGGAAAGAAATTGTAACAATGCGAATATCTTTTAAATGATAAGAGATAAGATGATCATATGAAGAACAAAAATAATCGAAGCTCGTATCTGTCTCTGCCGCATAAATCAATCGCGCATAAAAGAAGTTATATGTACTATGCTCAGACAAGCCACATTAGTGTAAATTTACGATTTTATATTTTTTGCTTTAAACTTTCAAATAAATACTTTTTATCATATTTTCATTTTATTAATTCTAAAATACTCAAGTTATGTGTATGTCTTTTTTTTTGATATTTTTAAGTGATTTCAAATATATTCATATCAAATTTTTACAACATCGGTTTAGGGTTAAAAGTACCGTTTCGCTAAGGTATATTGTAACACTATATAATCAAATGTAAATGTTAAAAAGAACCCGCTCATCTCAAATTTTAATAAAAATACACTGAATACTTGATGTATTTTCGCGTAAAAATAAAGATATGATAAGAAAAAAGTATCGCTCTGCTTCATAAACCGAAATATTTTAATATTTTTATCTGATAACTAATCAGATTAGGAAATCTGTCACAGCCGAAATACTGCGATGCAAGCACGCGCTAAGATCATATTTTCATGCACTATAATCGCGTGCAAATGCGTTATAAGTATATTTCTTATTGTAATAGATGTTATTTACTGCTTTGCAAACACAAATTCACTGCTTTAAAAATAAATTATCTGTACTGAAACACAAATTTACTATTTTAAAAACACAAATTCACTGCTTTTTAACAGCAAATTTACTATTTTAAAAACAAAAATAATATAAGAAGATAATTTCTGTTTTAGAATAGATAATTTATTTTTAAAGCACTGAATTTGTGTTTTTAAAGTAGTGAATTTACGTTTTAAAACAGATAATTTGTTTTTAAAACAGTGAATTTCTTTATTACAACAGATCGTTTTTAGTTTAGAACATGTTACAACTTTCCCTTTATTTCATTATGCCCCAAATCAAAAGCAAGATGTACTAATTCGGATTTTGATATTTTACTCATAGACAGACTAAAATTACACTTTTTTGCAAATTGTATATAAATCTAAATAATTGTTACATCATGATGCATTAAAAGAAATAAATAAATATATATATATATCTAAAAATTTGTATACAACTATTCCATCCCCTATCTACTAAATGTAAACACAAAATTTATTATTTACAAGATTCTTTTATTAGATACAAGAACCATTAGTTTGATTTAACTATTATTTTCTTTATTTAATTAAATATTTATTTATCGCACTGAGAAAAAGAAATTGGCTGCAGCAGCCAATTTTTAGTTTACGTTAGCCAATCGAAATCCTATACTAACATTGCGAATAGACTAACGCAACAAAAATTAGCTCCAGCAATCAAAAATTGGCTGTTGCAGCCAATTAAAAATGCTATTTTATTTCAGTATGTAAGTAAATATTTCGTAGGATTATTCAAAGAAATATTTATTAAAATTTAATAATTTTTTTTAGTGAGTAAATTATTTATTACAAAGTAGCGCTATTTAATTTCGATTGTTATTTTGTATTTATGTATATGGATTATTATATTGTATTTATAAATTATATACATAATAAAAAATATAATAAAAAACAATTTTTACAACAATTTTTATAATAATTTTTTATATATAATAAAAAATTATATGTTCAATAAATAATATGTTTAATATGATATTTACTTTGTTCACTTTAGAACGATAATTTTTGTTAGCGAGAATATAACAGGAATTATGTATTGTAAATAGAAACAAAAGTACGTTGACACAAGATCTGATAACGTTTCTACGATCGATCGACCATCCTTCTTTTATTGCAGTGCAAAAACTGAAGATCTACGGACGAAGGCGAAAAGGTATGATGAAGTGGACATGACACAACGACATGATGAAGACCATTGTGGGGATCATATGGATAATGTTAGTGCTCATATCAGGTACGTGTGATCAATCTAGAAGTCGCATGCCCAGGACTCGTATTAATCTGCTGATATTAGTCGACTAGGAATTTCATCTTATCGTTTCCAATATCTCAATTTATCTTTCCACAAAACATATAGCATTATTGTCTTTATTTTCTTTTTAAAATATGGATTAGTATTACAAGCAATTTTTAACTTGGTCATTTTTAATGTAATGAATTGGATAAATATAATGAATTTGCATATTGAGTTCTATAATTCATAAATTATGAATTTAACTTCCAAATTATACTAGTTCTAGTTTAAAAAAAAAAGAAATTTAACTTTTTTTGTTCTGGTTTCTTTAAATTGAGTTTAAGTTGATAGATATGTTTTGTTGAAATAGAGAATTTTTAAAATTATTGTTCAACTTATTCACATCTGACATTTTTTTAAGTAACAGAACATATCTAGTTAAATTATTATATATTTTTAAAAATTTTTCGATGAGAGAGAGAGAGAGAGAGAGAGAGAGAGAGAGAGAGAGAGAGTTGAATATGAAAATGAGATCAAAATGTAAGAATTTGAAATGGTGAAGTTAAAGAATAGAAAATAATGTATTTGTAAATTCTTATGAAATTATATATATTACTAGATTTTTTTTAAGTCTCTGAATAAGAAAATGATATCAGAACATAAAAAAATTAAATTATTGAATGAAAGAAAAAAATATCTTTAAATATCTTTAAATTCTAGTGAAAATATATTTTTATTGATGTTCCGAGAAAACGTTTTCCAAATTGTAAAATATAGAGACTCAATTTACAAAAAAAAAAAAAAAATATATATATTATATAACGAAATGTGTTGATAATGTTACTTCCAAGCTCCGAAGGCAAGGAGTTGAGAGGGTGAACACAGCAGGAACCGAATTTTGACCGATTTGGTTACGTCCAAGCTCCGGATCGCAAGGGAGCTGGGGAAGGAACGACGCAAACCGAGAGGTACTTTGCTTCGTTCTTGGGCTCTCGAAGAGCCAGGGATTGGAAGGACGAAGTGAAAACCTCTCTCGAGGTCGACGCTCCGCTGAGCAAAAAAAACTCAAGAGTCGAACGCACTTGTTGCATTTATAATTATAATGTTTTTGGTTAAACGTGATGCGCGCGCGCGCGCGCGCGCGCGTGTGTGTGTGTGTGTGTGTGTGGGTGGGTGTGTGGGTGTAAGTACGCGAATATTACATCGAGTAATATTCGCGGACCTAGAGCAAATACATTAAAAAATGTGTGCGTGTGGGTACATTAGGATTTCCGTGAATAAAGAATATGGAGAGTGAAACGGTTAAAGGAGTATTACTAGAACCGAAAAAGATTAAAATATTATTTATTGATTAATACCGAAGTAGAGTAGAAGTTCGTTGGACGTAACAATAAGAACAATGTAATATTATCCAAAAGTTTTAGTTTAATGCGTACCGCATATTTACAAGTATTATTGAAATGTACTATTGAAATATAAAAAAAGATTCGAAAAAGGTTTCATTTATATTTTTACATAATATAAATATAATAAGAAATTTTATTAATATATGTCATTAGAAGCTGAATTTGATTAATTGCTGTGGACAAAAGTAATAATATTTTATAATTAATTCGAGAATTTTCGGATACACAAATAATTTTTTATATTTTATAATAGATATTTATTACAATATTTTTTCCAAAAGTTAAAATAATGCTTTTTAAAAAATGAAATCTACTTGATTTTAATAATTAAAATACTTATTAAAGATATATATCTTTAGATATTCTACAACACATTTTATTTCTGCAAGAAAAGTTAAAATTTTTCAAATTTTGTATCATGTGCAAATTATGTTTTAAATGCATTAACTTTTAATCACGAAAAGAAACATAAGTTAAATTCAAATTCTTCCCAAAGAAAATGATAAATCAATATAGGGATAGTTTTTAGAGATATCATATAATATCAAAATAACAAAATTAATCTCTGCATTACTTTTAGAGAAATTGAAACAAGCAAATTATAACTATCTCTACTTAACTTATAGTTATACTATTCTAATAAACAATTAATTTTAAAACATTACGCGCTTTTCTTTCTCTTCTTTCTTGAACAATTTTATATTTTTTACTTGTATCAGTTTTCTTGCGGGGATGCGATATGTCATACTGAACATGAAATAATTAAATAGATTACAATAAAT